ACAAGTGTGGGCATGTGTTGTCTGATAGGAGTTTATTTGTACAGACTTGGAATGTAAAAATGTCTTTCCCGGGGCTTTGATTGAAGCGATGGGCGCATCTAGGATGGAGTATTCCTTTGGAACAACAAATTGAAAAGTTGGGTACCATGTGGGGGAAGGGATTACACTGAAAGCGTATAAGGGGTGCTGGCAGCTGGCATCTTTTTTTATCCCTTGTCATTTTTCAAGGTTAATATGAAGAAGGAACTGCACTAAGCAATAATATGTGGGTATTTTAATCCACCCCGCAATATTTTTCCTGATAACTCAACGATCGCCCATCCTGATGTTGCTTCACAGGATCTAGCACCCGGATCCCCTCCCGAGATGGTTCCAAAAGCTCTGCACGCTTCATCAACCAGTGCCCTACTTCTGCCCAGACCAGGCCCCCACCAGCTTTATTCTCTCACTGTCCAGCATTTTTCAACTGGGGTTTCACAGAATGAAGTCCAGTTTCCGTGATAGGTTCAGTCTACCAGCATCCTTGAGTCTCACACCAGGGAAAAGAATTCTGCCCTTCAACAGCTTCTAATCCTGATTAAACCGAGAAAACCAATTAAATGTGTCATTGTCTGAATTTGACTGTTCCATTCCAGAATGCATTTTGATTTCTAAGTCCTCCTTCCTGATCTGTTAGTTTTCCTCATGTAGGGGGATTCAAAACGTAGTGATTTGTTTGTTTGTTTGTTTTGTGCTGCTTCAAAAAAGTCAGTCTTCCATATACTCTCTTTCTAAGATGGGAGAATCAGCCGGGGGGGGGACCACATCATACTGTCCAATATTACAACTGAAGTAAAATATTAATTATTTGCTTATTTATTAATATATTTGTTATAAAATCATCTTCCTGCATAAAAGGGACTCATGGCAACGCACAACTCTGAAAACAAAAGAATCACATCAAGACCAAAGTAAGGCATCTTTAAAACATCCAGGGAATGGGAGTGAGGGGATTAACCTTTAAAATACATCAAAAGCCAACCTAAATAAAAGAGTACTGATGGTCCACCCAATGATGGACAAGGATGGGGACAATCTGAGCTCTCTGAGGAGACAGTTCCATAATCATAAGGCTATGGAAAATACCTGCCTCCATCAGCCTAACATCTCTTGGCCATGGGACATTTAATTAGACCTCTGAAAAAGATGACATATTATTTGTCAATTGATAGTTTGTGGGGCAGAGCTTAGGCGTAAATAGTTCCAAATGACTAACTATTTAAAAAAGAATCAAAACCAATATTTTGCAGCCCCTTAAAAATGAGATTTGTTTCAGTTGAATACAGTTTCTCAGACACATGGCCTTTTGCCTTCCTCCCTCACCATGAATGAATTGTAATCCATGGGAGCTCAACCTGAAATAAGCTTTTTAATCTTTAAGGTGTGGCTGCAATACTGTTTTTATTTTTTAATTTTGTAAAAAATATTTTCCCAGTAGTTGCTAAAACAAATTAACACATCTATCTCTTTGAAAATTTCTACAAGTTACTTGTAATTATCTCCTTTTTGCGATAATGTAATCATATGACATTACATTAATTGCGTATGAAAAGTGAGAATGTACTGTATTTTGCCTCTGGGGTGTAACTTTAACTTTTAGTTTCTTTTATGGCAGTAGCAGCCTTACTAAATGGTGGAGGAAGGATATCACAGAATGTTTACTGTAATGCAAACTTTGGAGGTTAAGCATTACCCTCCAAGTGGGTCTGGTCATCTTTGTTATGAAAAGCCTGCAGAGAAGGAAGGTTATCTCCTCCAGCCCCCTTACAAGGCAAGAAGTCCACTGCTATTGCACCCCTGACCGTCGGCCATGTGTATAGAAATCTCTGACAAAGGAGAGCCAATCCCTTTCTGCTCTGGTGTGTTCAGGGAGCTGAACTCTAAAACATTCTAATGCATTAAAAAAATTAAAGGCACTCCAGCAAATACTCAAAACACAAAATATGGGCAATGATCTGTCAGAAATAATTACGAAATCGGTAGGATCTATCCCTAGTATGCAAGAATAATAGGTCACATGACCTTTTTAATATTTACATTGACCCAATAAGCTTAATCACACTCTGACAATCACATGAACTTTCATCACTTTGCTTAGTCAGCATTTGATGTCACCCATCCCAATGACTGAACTCTCTTACCTGGAAAGCCTTGTTTCTGAGCTGATATCAGATGACATGATTGGGGGTTATTCTTCTATGATGTCATAGACATCCATTATAAACCATGGAGACCACTTCCATACTCCTTCACCATTGGGACTGATGAAGTTAGGACTCCAAGACGTTCTGGAAAGCCACATTTTCCCTATATCTCAGATAAATGAATAGATTCAGAGGGTGGCAATGGAAGATCTCCAATGTGAAAGAAAATGAATTATAGAAAGAAATGTTTGAGGTACCAAGAGCATTTAAATCTGAAGAAGCAGACACAGAGTAGAGGACATGAGGGCACCCTTCAAATATCAGAAGGCATTCCAACTTGTGGAAGACTTTTGTTGGTTGCCTTAGAAGGTTGACTTAGAAGGCAGGTGAAATTTAACAGAAGGATAGATTTTGGCTGAACATTAGGAGGAACTTCTCAATGATTTGACAGTAGGTCCAGTTGTTGGATGGGAGAGGGAACTCTCCCTCATCTGCAGTTTCCTCTGTATCGCTGTCTCTGAATTTCTGTGTATCTCCTTTTATCATCTCTTCAAGTAATACATTTCCTCTGTTTTGATGAGGAAAGATCCTCCTTACTCTTCTTCAACACACAGACATGCAGACTGCAGTTGTAAGCAGCCAAGCCTTGTGAGCAAGCCTTGGAGACAGATGGGAAAGTGTGGGGTGAGGAGGGGGGGAGAGGAAAGTGTCTGTAAGACTGTCTGGGAAAAGAATACCAGGGAGGATATTCTTTGACTGAAGTCGTGGGAGGCAGCAGCTGGTGGCCCTCTTTCCTTCAAAGCCGACTCCAATCATCTGAGCTGAGAATTAGCACACCATATTGCAGGGAGTCCATCCCTTATGAAAAGGGACCTGTCAAAGCAAGTTGCTTTTTCGATATTCTTTGACTGAAGTCGTGGGAGGCAGCAGCTGGTGGCCCTCTTTCCTTCAAAGCCGACTCCAATCATCTGAGCTGAGAATTAGCACACCATATTGCAGGGAGTCCATCCCTTATGAAAAGGGACCTGTCAAAGCAAGTTGCTTTTTCTTAAGTCAGTCCCCGACTCTGTCTAGCCCAAGGTCATCTGGACTGGGCAGAGAGACTTTCTGGAGGTTCCTAGGCTCTAGTTTCTTTCAACCCCAGCCAGCACTGCCAATGACCGAGGTGATAGGAGACAGAGGCAAAGAACCTCTGGAGGGCCAAGGGTCCTCATCTAAACAACTGGTAGCCGACAGGCAGAGTCACCAGTATTGAGCTAGGTAGATAAATGTCCTGACCTGATAAAGGCAGCAACTCCCCCTGTTCCTATCATGGGAGTTCAGTGGCAGAGCCTGGGCATCGCACACAGAAGGTATCCAACCTCTCAAATTAAAGAAAACCAGGCCGCAGAGAACTGCCCAATTGACCTGTAGGTCTCCAGATACTGGGGCACAAATTCTAGAATTCTTCACATTGGCCAGGCTGACTGAGGCTGGACTCAAGTTGGGAACCAAAAGAATAGACGATACAGGCCCAGCCTGGCGGTGCTTGTGAAGTTGGGAGAGGACAGCATCCTCTCCAGAATACACTTTTCCACCAGGGAATGCTGGTGGTGGGTCTGTCCTTTTTTATTTCGTCCAGATGGATGCAACAAGAGGCCCCAGAGTCACCTATGCTTTCCTTCTAGCCTGTAGTCCTGTGAACAGGGACTTAAACCTAACATGAAACTTCCTGTGTCATTTCAGGGTAATTATGACTGAGGTAGAGCCAGTGCTGGATTTTGCTTCCTCTGGGCGCACCGGCCGAAGGAACGCCTTGCCCGACATCCTGGGTTCACCAGCTGGGGTCAGTCCAACTGATTTGCCATTGAAATTGGCAGAAATGTCCCTAAATTCAGGTAGATATCATCTTTATTCTCTTGCCAGCAATGGCCATGTCTAACGTAACTCTCCTACTCTTAATGTTCTTTGTTGCTTTGATGGAACATGGTTCAGCTGAAATCCAAGGTAATGAGACTGTTTGCTAGTGATCTGTGAATGGGAGAAGGTAAAGGAGGACAGGAGGGGGTGGAGGAGAGAAAATGTGGAGGACAAACGGACAGGAATAACTTTTGCCCATCTGCATCAACCAAATTTAGTAGGTACATCTGTCCTCAGCATGGACAAGACCTTGTTGTACATGCCGACTATGCATCTAAAAGTTGCCATCAGGATCCACAGTTGATATTATTTCAATTAAAAACCTTCTGGAA